CTACTACTACTACTACTACTTCTTCAGCTACAGCTTTTATATACCCCGCTGGTCTCCGAACCCAGATCTATGCAATGATCACACATCCCAGAAAGCCACACGCATGAGAGACCCGGTGCCAAACACACCTCAGACAAGGACAGCCAGGTTTCCTCCACGCCTCCCACAGCCTAATGATAGGGGCCTTAATAGTTCGAGTAGGGTTTTGGGGCCCATTCTAAAATGATTATAATAAGGACCCCCCCCAAAAAAATGTATAGGAAAGTTATTAGGCCCCTATATAAACCCTAAGCCCGATTTGGTAAATATTTGGGGCCCCTACATTAACCCCCAAAAGCGGTACACCCAAGACGCGTAGATCACCATCCCGAGCAAGGCCAGGGTTGAGATGAGCAGTTCTCCACAAGTGAGGAGGCCGTACCTTACAAAGGCTGTGGGATTTTTGGGTGATTTTTGTTTAGGGTTTAGGGTTTTGGGGCACTAAGGTTTAGGGTTTAGGGTTTTGGGGATTTTTTGTTTAGGGTGTAGGGCTTTGGGGATTAAGGTTTAGGGTTTAGGGCTTTCGGGATTAAGGTTTAGGGTCTAGGGTCTTGGGGAGCAAGGTTTATCGGGGTTAGGGTGCTGAAAAGCAAGGTGTGGTGTTTGGGGTTGGGGGGTGCGTGGGGCTTAGGTCAACTCCTAATCCCCAAAGACCCATAGGACAAAGCGGCAACCCCGAAGATAGCTCTCCAGATGTTCTTTTCACGTTATACCGAGGCCTGTATAGTTTGAGCAGGTCTTTGCCTCTAGATTAAATCTCGGCTAGGGAGGGCTTAGCGGTCTTTCTACTGTATGTAGTCTTGAGAGGGAATGGTAACGCAGGCCGATCAATAGAATCTGCATGGGTCTCGGAATTTAGTTTGACTTACCATTACAGGGATCTAAGTCTAAGTCTAGAGTACATGAAATCAATCGTTTGTTATGGTAACTTACACTAAGCGCCGCAACAAGAGCCCTTTGGGGCTCAGAATTACATGGTTTGGCCACGAGGTGCCACGCGTGCAGGCAGGCATGACTACTATCAAAGCTCCTCGAAACTGGTCGCTACCCAAAAATGGGGCTTTCCGATTCTAGTTCGGGGTTTCTATCTGGGCGCGTCTGGTAGACGCTTTCCGTTGAAAGTAGCAATAACAACTACAAGCATGAAGAAAGGACAATCAACACTCTAGCGCACCACCCGACAGCCTTAAGACTCACGGACGGGAAGATTAACAAGTGAGCATTAAAGGCAGAAGCTACATCGAGCCCGAAACGTTACACTCCTCAAAACCCCTTCAATACCCCAAATCATATCACAGTGGCAGACAGGGGGCAGCAACCGCCAGATTGACTTAATCTGCCGAATCATCCGGAAGGTTCGGACCAAGCGAATCAAGCGCAGCAGCCGGAGAATCATTATCTGCAAAGCTGGGACGCATTTGCCAAGAGAACGCCAGCAGGTTGCGGGGCTGTGGAGGCTAAAGGATCTGCGAGCTCCACCATGCCACACTTCAGTCGTATGTACCGTAGAGTACATCATCGTAACTACCATGGTAGTAGCTAGCCCGGTAACCGTTACAGTAATTACATGCAACCCTGACACTGGCCATTATATTAACTCGTACCTGATCAGTCGTCCGGCCTGCTGCTCGGATTGCACGTTGCTGAAGGATAAGAGCTGCTCAATGTAGGCGCTCGTCACCTGCGAAGAAAAGGACTTCGAGAAAAGTTGCAAGGCAGTGCATCATTGCAACAATATATCTAGAGGTATGCAAAGCAAATATATTTGGAGATGCCTATACAGGAAGCCATAATCCATAACACCCAAAACATAAAATTACTTTAAAAAACTACCCAACAGCCTTATAGTAGAGTTCTGATGGGGTTCTACAGGAGTTCAGGATCTTTGCGCTTCAAATTACGAAACTTGCGCTTGATGCTTTGGCCAGGTTAACCGTTGATGGCTAAAGGCAAGGCATTCCCTAAACCGGCAAAGGTAGGTAACATAAACGCCCAACGCCCCTTAAAAGGCTAATGTTCTACATTCAACATAAAAAGGCCCAAGTAAACCGTACCTAAATCAATCGACTTACGCACTCCATCTCCGGCTCTACCGAAAGGACGTAATCTACGTGTTACCGACTCGAAGAGGTTTTGGTGTCGCTTTTAGTATGATGCTACTACACAAACCTGAGTCTTAGAAAGCCCTAAGGAACAACATTGATTGCTTGATAGTTATTCCCATCTCCATACTATTAAAGTTATTATTGCAATGCAACATAGTATTTACCTTATTTACCGACTACCATGATTGCTGCCCTTACTCTTCGTTGCAGCGCACATCCTCCAAAGAGGCATTCTGAAGAGTACGCATGCCTACATACTTGCTCAAATTACATAATGAAATCTGCCAGAATCTATCAAAAACTTGTTGCTACGAATTAAAGCCTCCCACGCAACTGGCCAACTTCAGGAGTTTGATGGCTTAAAGTTTTTAAAGTTTTTGGCGCTCACTCCCGGACTAGGCAGGCGAGGTCTGGGCGTGGTATGTGTGGTGGTTGAGGTCGTCCGGGGCTGGGGCACGTGGCAAACTCCAAAACATCCTTCCATGGTGAACCCTCCACCCCCGCTTGACCTGACGCCCCTCACGCTAGCCGCTAGATCCTCTTATCTTAGACTTTAGACTAAATAAACCCTAGAACCCCAAAGCTGGCCTGAACCCTACACCCGAAATGCCCTGGACCCTGGGTTTTCTTTTCCTGGTTATCCTGCTTTCGCTGCCAAAGACTCATGCACTGAATTACCAACCCCTGATGGACGCCATCCTCCGGGCGCGCTGCTTCCTTTGGAATGCAGGCTAAACTTGAACATGGCCCTCTTGCGACTTTCTCATGGGCCCACATCTGGCCCAAAAATGCCTGTCACCCTGGAGAGTTGCCATGCCCACGGACCCCAGCAGTTTGCTGCAAGGCCTTGCACCTTTCGCAAAGTCTTCGAACATTTCGCAGGTTGCCTCTGGTGGCTCTTGATTGCTTGTAGCACTGTAGGCACGGCGTCAGGTAGTACGCGGCACCCCCATGAGGGAACACGAGGCCAAATCGAGGAGCCAAAGGACTCCATCTTCACCTTCCACTCCGAGGTTCGACACTGTGATGTCTCGTAACTTCAGACCCCGGCTCCCGAGCCACACTACTATGATCGACATGAAGGTGCCATTGTTCGTTCTCTTGCGGCTGCATTTCTCGTATCCACGGCTTGGACATGGACGACATGCCACATGCCTTGCAAAGGCTCTAGTCAGCGGGTCGTCCAGGCGAACTACCACTGGTTCCGCACGCAGAACTAACGCACATACCTCCTGAAATTTTGCACTCAGGAACTCTTCCTCTCCGAACTCTGAAAGTACGTCACGCGAGAAATCCTTGTGCCAATGCGCGTCATTGGAACCTCTTTCTGAAGCCTTGTGTTCTGCACATCCTCACACTCACACTCGGACGAGTCCAGGCAAGGTCTGCAGACAACTTCACGACCCGGTAGATGAAGCCCGAATGACAGCACCCTTCCGTGAAGACAATCCAGCCTACACACACCACAGGAGACCACAACACCCGAGTTGGTCCTCAAGAAAAGCGTGTGAAACACAGTGCAACACGGTTCCGCTCCTATCTCAGGTGCGCATTTCCCTCCATATGCAGTCCAGACATGCAGCGGGCACACAAGCGCAGCATCCATGACGAACTGATTTCGTCCTATCCCAAAGCACCAAAGTCTACGCCTTTGCAGCATGTAGTCAATCCTGGATCTCAGCAGACATCTCCACTCAAGTTGTCATGGCATGCCGCCAGCAGCTCGCCAGGATTATGTCATGCAAAATTCAACCAGTTCAGTCCTCCTCAAGAGTTCCATGGCAATGCAACATGCATCTGCTGCACGGGTTCGAGATGCAAGCTGCAAGTATACGTCTAAATTCCAGGCAGAACACATACCACGAGCAAACCTAAGCCCGTTCATCGTTGCCAAAGTCCAACAGGATCAGGTGCTTTGATATGTCCTTTCATCACGTCCCATGCAGCATCCACGTTGTATGCGGTGATTGGCCATGCAGCGAAGTACAGTGGGACATGTGCAGATGCCATGCTGCCGCCAACTGCAACTCCTTAGAGCAGTGATGCAGCTGTGGTCTGCCGTCAGAAAGTTCAATATCAGGCCAGCCAACCGCCCGCTTGCGTTGCGTCCGCCAGCCATGCATCTGGTCCCACATTTCGTCGAGGTCGCTGGAACCGAAGTCCGTGCTCTCTTCGTATCCTTCGAAGTCATCAATGATGTAAATCTCGAGGGGCTCAACGATTCTAACATTCCGGGTGTAGATGTCAGGTGCGACCAATTGCCCACCAAGGTTGGCAACATCTTCCACACTGACAGGAGCCGTAGACCGCGGGTCCCGACGGACACCAAGTCCAGCCCTCGCTTGGCGCAGTTCGCATTTGCATTGGGCTGCACACGCTCCTCTCAAGCCGGCCTTCAGCACAATTGTGCTTGATCACAACCTGTCAGTCGACGTTGACGAGCTTGAAGTACTCGAGTGCAACATCCTGCTGAATGGACGCCTTGACGGAGCCTACAGCTTCCCTTCAGCTTGGAAATCTGCGATGGACGCATGACATGTATTTTTGCTCTCGATGGCAGCAACGGCACATACCACGATGCTTCAAGCGCTGTAACAAGGAGCTTGATGACAGAAAGCAAGCTTGGGGTGGAAGAGGCTTGAGCCGTAGATGGCTACCCGGGGTTCAGGATATACGGTTAGGCCCATTCCCCTTAAAACCTTCCACCGCCCATCCCCGCCAGGATAGCATCGAAGATGAACCAGCCATCACGGAGGCACTTGGACTGAAGGGCAATGGCGCGGATAGCCAACTCCACGGAGTAGAAGACTAGGAAGAAGATCTCCTGGGCTATTCGAGGGCCTTTTTTGGGGTTTGGGGTTTCGAGCTTTTGGGCGTACTGTAGGGCTTTTTAAGGCTTCGGGCTTAGGGCCTTGAGACGGCTGTGAAGACGGCCGGTTTGTAGTCTAACCGCAACTCCTTGCCTTTCTAGAGCCGGCAACCCCCTCCTCCGAAAGGTGCAAGCGGCTTAGATCTAGAAAGGTTTAGGGTTTGAGGTGTCGGTTTGGGGTTTGAGTTGTAGTAAGATTCAGCATTCGGCCAAAGGCAAACGCTTGGAGAGATCGGCAGTCAACAACATCAAACTCAACTGCAGAAATCCAATCGTGTGATTCGGGCTGTCGCTGTCCTGGACCTGCTGCTTCATTCCGAACCGATCAAGTATAGGCCCCACCGACGAAACCCTGTACAGCTTGAACCCAAGCTCGGCAGCCCTTAGCCAGAAACAATCGCCACCTTCACCCTCGGTACCGGTGTCGAGACGTGTAATCTTCAAAGCAGTTTAGATGATCGAGTATGTCAAGCAAACTCGAAATGACTACGTTGCCAAAGGACTTACGACAACTCGCAATGCAACAATGCAAGTGCCACCATGGCCCATGGCTATCAAATTAATAAATAGTTAGAATGGGGTTTGGGGTTTTTACAATGGTAATAAGCATCCCCCAAAATTGTATAGGCAATTATTAAGGCCGCTATATTACCCGCTTGTGCTTCCTGCTACTGTAAACTCAGCCAATCCCGCCAAAGTGCCCTGTGTAATTTGGGTGTGTTCGACTCGTGTTGCCGCCCCACAGGCGCAATCCCGTGCAGTACGTCATAGGGTCGCATTGTGCGTTTCAGGGGTGCTCCTGGAATGGTTCTTGCATAATATAGAGGCCTTAATAATTAGAACAGAGTTTTGGGGCCCATTACACTATAAATATAATAAGCAACCCCCAAAGTGGTATTAGTAAAAATTTAGGCCCCTAAATTATGCTTGGCTCGGGCCAGAGGATGCCTGTCACTCTTTGGGGTCTATGCTCGCTACTATGGCAATCTTTCGTATTAGGGAACCGGCGCACAAACGGCTAAAGCACATTTTGTGGCGCCTTCGTAACAAAGGTGGCTTGTCGAAGGCCCAAGCGATGATCTAGAGCCCCAAACCTATAAATGCTTGCCGAATCATCTAGAGGGACCCCAGATATCCCAATCCCGTCGGGATTAGGATATCTGGGGTCCCGCTAAATGATTCTGCAAGCGTTTATAGGTTTGGGGCCGAAAATGCGAAAAAAAAACGAACAACAACTGATCCGGCTGAGCTGCCGCCTCGGCAGCCCAAGGCAGCCCGGGCCCCTCCAAAGAGTAGGTTTGTGAGTGGGGGTATGGGGTTTAGGGTTTAAGGTTTAGGGTTAAGGGCGCTCACTCTCGGACATGGAAAGCTCGTGGTCGAGGATTTAGGGCTTCGGGTTTAGCGATTCGAGCCTACGAAGGCTTGGGTATTTTAGGCATGCGCCTCTACGCTGGTCTGGTGCTGGCTCTGGTACTGGTTCTGCTGCTGCTGCTGCTGCTGCTGCTGCTGCTGCTGCTGCTGCTGCTGCTGCTGCTGCTGCCGCTGCTGTTGCCGTGGCTGATTGGCTGCTCACTGGTGGTCGGTGGTTTTTTTGCATCGGGACTTGTGCAATCGCCTGAAGGTCTGAGTATAAACCCGAAACCCCCAAACCCTCAAACCCTTTTTCAACGAGGTCTCCCTAACCCTTTTTGAATCAGGAGCTTGATTGGATGCCTGGAAGTGAGACTCCCTGACCCTAAGCCCCAACCCCTAACCAAAATTCAAAGAGGGCCTTGGCCGTCTCTCCCGTGCTCGGAAGAGACATGTGGCTGTCGACGCCGATGATTGCCTCGTCTACTACAAGGGCCTTAATGTTTCGAATAGTGCTTCCGGGTACACTCTTCTATACTATGTAGATATAGAATATAGGGACTATAAGGGAATACTGTTCGTGCCTATTCCGACCCCTCAATTACCTTCAAACCGTGCGCACGCTCGTGTCTATCCGGTGCCCAGGGGCCGAGTTGGCGACGATAACGAAAGAGATCATGCACTCGAACCAGTCCTCCAAAAACGACACATTGATGTAGGGGCTTTAACAATTAGAAAAGGGTTTTGGGGTATAACCAAAACTATACTAAGGAACTTCCAAAATACTTTTGGCAATTATAAAGGCCGCTATAGTGGGCACCATGCCCAAGGGGGCGAGCTTGATTAGCACGGTGGTCATGAGTAGAATTGTGATTATGGCGATTACGATCCTGAGGATTAGGCTGATGACCATCATCATCTTCACCAAGAAATCGACCGTAGGTCTTGGATTCTCGAAATTCAGCGACCCCGATCTCCAGAAACCAGCAAACCTCAGGCACCGAATATGTGTCGTGAAACCCCTAAACCCAAAAGCCTAAGAAAACCCAGTTCAAAGAGTGCGAAAGAAGGTTTTGCGGGCTTGGCCCTGGCGCTCTGGCCCCTCGGGCGAAGGGGCCAATGCCAGAACATCGCAGCTTGTGCCCCACAAGAAACCCGACCTGTGGTATACCATCATCTGCACAAGCCCCATACGACATACTAGTGTGCTGAACGGGCCCCTGGATACCGGTGCAAGCGGGTTCCTCACATGTCGACCTCCTCTCTCTGACATGCCGCACTGGCTGTTTAGGGACGAAACCCAGGACCGAGGGGCTGGAAATTTTTGGGACGTTGAGGGTTCAAGACTGAGGGTTGGGGCAGGGCTTGCTTGAAAGTCCACTTCCTGCGCTTCTTGCACAGCACACCGCCTGACACGTTTACATGGTAAACCCCCCAAAAAAAAAACAAGCTAAAGCCCCAAGCTCAAATCGAAGCAAAAAGACTTCAGCGGCACCCTTGAAGGTCCGGATGACAGGGACGTAAACCCTGCGCCCTCAGCCGAAACCCCATCCTTCTTGATCAACTTCTTGCAGACATGTTCTGTCCTGCAGAGCTCTGGGAAGCTTTTAGCAAGGCTTCAGTTGGGTTACGGCCTTTTCCTCGGGGCTCCGGATTTAGGGATGTTTAGGGCCTAAGCCGTAAACCTAAAAGTCCTACATTTTAGGGCATAAGCCGTAAACCTAAAAATCCTACACCTTCCTACACATTCTTAAGCCCTACACTGACAAAACCCATACCTTTGACTTTCAACCACGAGACTCGATCTTCCGAGGACTTGGGCCTTCCAAGCCCCAAACTCCGGGTCACCCCAGAAACCCTAGAAACCCTTTTTTTCACAAGGGTTTAGGGTTTAGGGTTTAGGGTTTAGAAACCCTAGAAACCCTAAACCCCTAAACCCCTAGACCCTAAACCCTAAACCGGCACTCTAAAGCTTGAAGCTTTTCGGGTTGCGACTTGGTGCACTTCTCGATTCGTGCGTATCCAGGGTTTGGGGTTTGGGTTTAGGGTGTTGTAATGTTGCGCAAGCTTTCAGGAAAGGCCGAAGAAGCTCTGATTTGCGGTCCCCTCTCCCTCTCCATCCCTCACTCGTTAGCTCACTCGCTCACTGGGTACAAGTTATTCAGGCTTCTATGTACATCTAGAACCTACATTATCCCCAAAAATGGCGTGCCTCGGAATCGAAACTAAAGTTTCGATTGCTCAATGACGTGGTTAGACGATTGAAGGTTGAGGAGCCTGAACCCCCCCCATATCCCCGAAAACCACAAACCGCTAGACCTTCAACACGATAAGCCCGAAAAGTAGCCCTGCAAACCTTATAGGCCCCACAAGCCACGCAAGACCCACAAACTCTATCAACCCTGCAAGTGCCACAAGATGCTGTAAATTTAGAAGCCCAGTACATCCTGGGGGGAGGTTGTGCGCTTGACAACAAATCCAACAGCCTGGGTGGAGGGCCTAGAAAACCCAAACCCCAACTGATCTTCCAAACCCCGCACTCCACGGCGCCTCTTCCACAAGCCCTCGGATTGGTGAATCTGCAAGCTCTTCTGCTTCCTTGCTTGAGTTTCGGGTTTACGCTTTAGGGTTTAGGGTTTTAGAGTTAGGCCCGAAAGCCCTACAAAGCCTGCGGCCCTGTAAACCCTAAACCCTGTAACAACCCCCAGCTCCCTGAACCCCGAAAGCCCCAGAAACCCTATCAACCCGGAGCCCTTCACAGCTTTACCCCAGGCGCTCAGAGAATTGGAGTCTAGGGCTTGGGGACCCTTCATGCCAGCCGCTTCAAGGTTTCATCATGGTTTCTGGGGTTTTATAGGGCTTTAGTCGTATAGCATAGGGTACGGTATTGGGATACACATTCTGGTAAGAATACATGGGGACTATAAGTCTATAAGCGCATAGTATTACATGTGAAAATAGTCTTCTTGTCTAGTATGCAAACCTCGATGTAAAATGTACAGGACTTCTACACTGAAGTCGGCGTTGGTATGTTTAGGGCTAGGGCAAGGCATACGGTTTGGGGCTGACGTCTTCAGCGCCTGAGGGGTTCTTCGACACTCACCGCCGGGCACGTTCCGAGTTTTCGACTCTCACACTCGCACAAACTATAATGTAGGGCCTTAATAATTAGAATAGAGCTTTGGGGCCCATTGTACTATAGTTAAAATAAGGACCCACCCCCCCAAAAAAAATGTAGGTAATTATTTACGTAGGCCCCTTTATTACCTGTTGCTGCGTTAACACTAGGCAGCCTCTAGAGCAACCAACCACGGAGGTTGGTCAGCAACTAGTTACTGGTAGCGCTTGGAGACTCTTCCTCAACTCGCTTGGAGACTCTTCCTCAACTCAGCCTCTGTAAACAGGTTTAGGGTTTAAGGTTTAGGGTTCCTAATCTGTATGCTTGAACCATAAATGCTGGAACCCTGACCCCTGCCCGGGCGTAATGCGGCTGCAGGACATCGAAAACCTGACTCTCTCTCTCTCTCTCTCACACACAATCCGGGAGCTTGTGCGCAGAGTTGTTCCACAATGACGCCCACACATTGCAGGGGGATTTATGTATGAATCTGATTAGGGAATGCCTGGTTCAAACCTTTACAATATCTTAGCCAGATGAAGCCTTAACAAGAATCGAAGGGTTTCTGAATCAGGTTTCCTGCAACACTCGCGGTCGATACTCGCTGCGCCTTTTCAGGAAGCATGCTTCCAAAGGGGCACACCAGGACACCCTCTGAAGACTAAGATAAGCCCTCATAACCCTAAACCCAGCGGAAGCGACGGCTACCTGGACGCCCTTGTCCATAATATGAGGGGGGGCCTTAATTTAGAATATGGTTGTGTGGCCTACGATACTATACTTAAGGAAACACCAGAATGCTCTCGTAATTATTTAGGGCCCCATGCCTCAACCCAGCCCTAAACCCCGAACCCTTGTCCACAGCTTAGATTCTGCTTTGTCGTCTGCTCGCGGACCTTCTTCAAGAGGCGCCGGGTGTGGGGACTGATCGACGCATCCTGGACATGCCGTCGGGGCTTCGGGGGGGTTCCTGTAAGGGCTACTGTAAAGATTACTGTATAAGGACTATTATAAAGATTATCATATAAGGGCTACGATAGAGATTACTGCATGAGGGCTACAACAAAGACTACTAGAAAGGCTACTGTAAAGATTACCAGAAAGATCTAGAAAGGCTACTATACCGGTTACGATAACAATAGCTACGATCAAGAGTACTACTGTAAGGGTTTAGGGTTTAGGGGGACGGATCGATGGAACCCGGGCCATGGCCCTTTGGCAAGGCTAGGTTGAGGGTTACAGATTCGGGAGTTTCCGAAAATTAGGGGTACCTTATTTTGGGGTCCTTATAATAAGGATCCTATTATTTAGGGTACTATATTAGGGTCCCCTATTTTCGAAAACCCCCATTTTGTAGGGTCCCTATAAACGTCTATATTCGGGTTTAGACTTTTTACATCTGGACTTGATGAAGGCCAGCACCCCAGTCCTTGGTCCTGCGCTCAGTGGGGTTTAGAATACTGAACCCTTTTTTGCAACGGCCTTGTCAGATCTCGACCGGACTGAGAATACTAAACCCTAAACCCTGAACCTAGAGAAAGTTGGGTGTGGTTGTTTTGCTAGGGTTTGCGGCTCTGGGTCCAGGCTTGGGTCTGCTTGGGTCAAAAAATTTGGGGCCTAGTGTCGTCTTTGAATACACTTGGGTTTAGGGTTTAGGGCTTTAGGGTTTAGTGTTTAGGGGTTTAGGGTTTAGGGTCTTCAGAGGGGGAGGTGGAGAACTGGAAGCACCAGATGTTTGGCCGAAGGCCTGACTACCGCCTAGAGTATACAGACGTTCACCCTGTGGGTGGCTCATCAATTTTGATGCTCATCAATTTTGAAGTGCACTGCAAAGAACAGTCTTTCATACATTCATTGATCTTGTCCATCATTATGTCTACTTTTAAGAAGCATCCCTGGATTTCCTTGTTGACTTTGCCCTTTCATGCATCTAGTAGGAGTGTGGTTGTTGGGGTCTCGAAGTTTTGGGTTTTAGCCTCAAAGCTGAGATTGAGGAAGAATCTCGCCAGCGTCTGACACCACCACAAAGAACCTTCTCTTCAGCTTTGCCCTGGCTACACACGTCCGGGAAACGACTGCAAGGACCTATAGTAGCTTCTGGGAGCAGGCGTGTTTTTAAGCCCAGGATACCCGTAACAAAAACTCACAGTGCGAACCGCAAGCCCGAAACCGAAGGCCCTTAACCCGAAGGCCCCGTCTGTCTTCCAGGACATGCCGAAGCGGCCAAGTCTTCGAGGTGTGTCTTGCGCGACGGAGGAGTTTCTCCCTGGGGATTTCCGCAGTTTCGGGTTCAGGGTTTGGGCCCAAACCCTAAACCCTTTTTTGAAATCGGACTTGATGACCCTTTACCCTAAACCTTAACGGTCGGATTGGAATGAAGTGGCCTGGCATCGCAGTAAGGAGCTTCTCGGACAGGAACTAGTCATTGCGGATGGCCCGTCTTCGGGGTGTGACTTTTCCGCGCAACACCATACAATATTCAGGAGAGTCATGTGCAGAGAGATATAGATAGATAAATAGATAGATGGATAGATAGATAGATAGGTAGATAGGTAGGTAGATAGATGGATGGATGGATGGATAGTTGGATAGATGGATAGATGGATGGATAGATAGACAGGTTTAGGCTAGATTAGATTAGTTTAGATTAGATTAGACTAGACAGATAGATAGGTAGATAGGTAGGTAGATAGATAGACAGACAGATAGACAGGTAGGTATATAGATAGATAGATAGATAGATAGATAGATAGATAGATAGATAGATAATTACGATAGAACGGAGATCTCAATTTTCGAGGCATGAAGCGATATCGACATGCTCTCAGATTTCTGCCGGGGATGTATGTGAAGACTTCTATGAGCGCACTCCATCTTTTGTGGCACGGATTCTCAGGTATCCTCAGCTCAGTCGCAGCCGGCTGCCCACTGGAAGCACTGATCTCCCCTTTGGGGAGGGTGGGCGGGAAGCTTGAGCGTTTCACAACAACGAAAGCACTCCATGCGCTCTCATCAGTCATCCTGTGCACGCACAAACAGACTTCTATGAGCGCACTCCATCTTTTGTGGCACGGATTCTCAGGTATCCTCAGCTCAGTCGCAGCCGGCTGCCCACTGGAAGCACTTGTAGCCCCAAAAGCCAGCGAAGCCCTCGTTGCCCTCGTTGCAAAACGTATCTGCAACGATCTCCCGAATCACCCCAAAGCAGAAGGTGTTCACCCGTCAGTAGGCAAAGTTGTTGTAATGCCAGGGAGCTGTCAGAGCATGAGCAAGCGCCTGGCACAACTTGGGAGGGTAGGGCTGGGCCACCACTGTCATGGGCAAACCCGAGGGATGAGAACCTGAAAGTTGCACATGACGTCGATGAGTGCGACTGCAGATATGAGTACTGTCACAGGTCTGGCCCAACCTGTTAAGATCATCGCTGTCGATGCCATGGCTTAAGAAACCAGTTGGCTTCTTCCAGGCCGAGCCGTACTGACAAAAGTCACTTCTGGTCAAACGAGTGCCTGGCCGGTGAAGTAGCTGCCGAACTGGAGGCAGGCGCCAGGCCTTACTGCTCCAAGGGTTCTCAATAATGAAAGGGACACCGCATGAAACACAGACCTGGGCGATGGCACAGCAAGTACGGAAGCATTCATTGCCGACACGAACCTTTTCTTGTTCTGATGGAGTTAAAAGGTGTGCAGGAAGTCCCCAGGGGTAATCCTGGTTGCGGATGACCTTGGCTCGATCGCGCGCCACGGAGAAGCTGGTGCAGACTGGGGCCATCATCACGGCACCAACTCGTCCTTTGTGAATTTCTCTTTTCAGACGGCGAACGACCGCTGGGTCAGTCAGATCATGCTGCGGGCCAAACTTTATATCCCATTCCTTTGCATGAAAACCTAGCTGTCGACATGCCTTGGACACACCACCACATCCGCTGAACAGATCCATCACATAGAACGGGGAACTGAGATATCGACCTCGGCGATGTCGGGGATACGAGCCGTGCCGCCCAGGATGCCCGTAAGCGAATCTTCGCAGAGCTGCATGAAGAGGCGCTTGGTGACCGGAATTCGGTTCCACGTTTGTGCTAGCTTGGCACTCTTCTCGTACCTGTGTACGCTTTTTGTGCTTTTCCACTGGCCTCTGCGCTGGACCTCCAACTGGGAGCGGTAGTTGCGGCTCCGATCGATTGACGGCCCGCTGTGCCGAGTGTGGTAGGGCGTCAAAGCGACACCCAGACGACCAGCAGCTGTGCTGATTGCTCGGGCGTACTCCACGTACGTGAAGTTCCAGAGTGGATGACTTGGCATCCCCTTTTTGAGCTCGGCAAAGACCTTGCTGGACCAAGTTGCCAGGAACGGACTGTCGAGGATTACACTCACGTCGAAGAGCCCTGTCTTGGAAGTCTTGCCTTCGGCTTCCGGCGCCAGTAGCAAGCTCCAGTGGTTTGTCACTTGCGAAGCAGGACGGACGAGCGACTCTTTCCGGCAGTTGAGGAGCTCGCTGGGCCTGGCGTAGGAAGACACTGCCACCATCACAAAAACCGCCATCGACAGAAGCCCCCAGTGCACTAGGAGCGCTGCCACAGCAGCCCAGACGGCCAGAGGGTAAGCATCCCTCGTGCGTCCGGGACACAGCTTCCTCCAGCCCTTGAGGGCCCTCCAGGCTCTGGGGAGCTTGGTGCCCCCTAACCGGCCGCACGAAGGATGACGATGCATGACGCTGGCCATGAGCCGGTCTCCGTGGTAACTCTGGTAGGCCTGGCTGTACATGACATTCATGTGCTGAACCAAGGCATGATCAATGGGGTTTTTCAGGGACGTGTCCAGCTTGTTCTTCGCCGCGAACTTCGTGAAGCGTTTGAGCTCCCTCACGTAGCTCTGCTGGGTCTGTGAGTTCACGGCTTGCTGCTCCAGGTGCGTCGCGGGCGTAAGCCCCTCTTTGGAGTCCATCAAGCCGGAGACGATCTGGGAGGACTTCCTCACACGAAATTTTGGTCTCAGGGCTCTTTCCCTTGCCAACCTCTTCGGGGACGGGGAACGGCTTGTGCTTGAACTGCTCGTCCGTTGTCTTGTGGAGGGCTGTTTCTTTGAGGAGCTCACTGGATCCAGAGGGACAGCTGAGAGGTCGAAGTCTATGGCTTTCTCCAGAGTGTGGACGACGGTAGCCGAAGCGAGATGAGCCACTGTTCTTTCTCTTGCTTGGGTGGACCTCCGACTTCGGAACCTCCAACTGTCTTTTCCTCCGCTGCTGGGAGCCGAACTTTCTCCCTTGTCCAAGCATCTCGTGCGAGACCCCTTCATGGCAGGGCAAGGGGATCTGATCAACCAGAAGCTTTGAGGGAACTGCGTCAGAAATACGGCTTGGCTCATCACTGCTGTTTAACTCGCTAGGTAGCCATC